CCCCCCCCCCCAGGACCTCCTACCTGACCAGCAATACCCCCCCTATACAAAAATGAGGATTATGATCCAATACGACGGGGGCGGGGGGCAACCTTGGCAATGCAGCTGTGGTGAAACTACAAATCCCATCACCCTGTCAAAGTCCTGCAGTGCCTCATGTGACACACGAGCGAGCGGGGGTGGCCTGTCCCTGCAATACTCTGTGTGCGCCCGATGCCATTGCAAACCCAGATATTGCCCTGTAGCTGTGACATCATCCCTGCGCTGTACTGAGCCTGAGCAGAGCTGTGGGAGGGGCCCAGCAGGCTCCACCCAGTACAGGAGGTGGGCGGCGACAAGACCAGTCACAAAGAGAGAGGTGGTTCCCCCCCTTACCTGGGGTTCTGGGTGTTCTCCAGCGGTTTGGTCCAGGCGGTGATCTCCTCCTTCTTCATCCTCTCCCCTCGCTGGGTCATCAAATGGGTCAGGGTGTTCATGGCGGGGGCGGGGGGTGGTCCTGACACCCCAAAACTGCTCCGGAGAATGAGCTCTGAGCGGTGATACCTGCGTACGTCTCCAACCAACCTTAGTAACATATCCTGGAGACAACCGCCCCCGGGGGACAGGAGCACCTGAGCCTGGAAGTCAGCTGATCATCACCGAGGCTCCGCCCCCTAATCTCATCATTAACACCTGGACGGTGCACACCTGGGGACAGGAGCGCTCTTAAAGGGGAACTCCGCCCTGAAATGTCTTCCTCTGATGTCACAGCACGCTTCGAGCTTCTCACAATGTGCATTAGAGTCACAGAGCCCGCCCCATCCCCTGGCTGGAGGACGTCCAGCATCATCTAGCACCTTTCCTTTCCCCCCGGCCGCGCCCCTTTCATTCATTGGATTTCACTTGTGTCAATCACAGAGGCTCAGCATCACATGTGGGTGTGTCCTAGGGCAGTCTGTATATACATACTTCCAGGGACATTAGCAGGGACATTGGTATGGACATTGGCAGGGACATTGGCAGGGACTTTGTTAGGGAAATATCCAGGTACATATTCAGGGACATTAGTAGGGACATTAGTAGGGACATTGAAGGACATCATAAGGGGCATTAGTAGGGACATTGGAGGGACATTAGAAGGGACATATTCAGGGACATTGGAGGGACATTAGTAGGGACATATCCAGGGACACTGAAGGACATCATCAGGGACATCACAACCTGTAGCAGTGGCCGGCTGGTTGCAGTTCCCGGCTCTGGCCGCCAGGTGTCGCTCCGGGATCAGCACACACAGCGCCCTCTGTACACAGACTACATCTCCCGGCATGCCTGGCGGGGGGGGGGCGGAGTCAGAGGAGTGCAGCAACACGGCGGAGAAAGATGGCGGCCGGGAGCTGAGGAGACAGGTGAGACCTCCAGGGGGGTAGAGGGGGTACCGAGAACCGGACCTGGGGGAGGGATTGTGTACCCCAATATCTCTGTCTGTGTATTCACCCCACATACTGCCAGCACTGTATAGGGAGGAGACCCCTTTCCCCCCAATGTGTATACACCTCTGTGTACCTCACAGGACCCCCCATTGTACGTCGCCCCCACCACTGCACCCGATATATATAATGATATATGTATCTCACCACAGCTCACACTGGGGGGAACAGGGGTCACACATTCTTCAGGTCACCCGGCAGCGTTGTCACCTTGTGTATGGTGGTCTTAGCTGACACTGATGAAGCAGGTGCCGGTCGTCATGTGATGTCATAGCGTGGATCATGTGATGTGTGAGGTTTGTTTTGGAAATATTGAAATGATGATGAAATAGGTCTCTGTGCTTCTCTATGCAGTCAGGTGATGGCTGGTGGGAGGGGCCGGCAGGGTGATGTACGTAGCTTCCTGAAAACATCACACAGCACCCTGCCTCAGTACTTCTATCAGAATCCCTCAGCCCCGATGCAAGCAATGGGATGGATTGTGGGAGGAGTTATGCAAATATGAAAATGACTTGATGGGCGGCTGTCAGTCTGGAGGAGTGGGCGGTTCCCAGGCAGGCTGTATTTGCATGCAGACCGCCCCTAGGTAACACCCACATTGGACGTTGGGCCTCCATGATTGAAAGGACTGAAATCCAGTAAATGAAAGGGGCGGGGCCAGGGACAAGCGGGGCCAGGGACAGGCGGGCTGTGGAGGAAAATGGCCATTTTCTGCTCGTTGTCACCGCCTGGAGCCGGAGGGGAGGAGTCTGTTCTGTGCCGGAATCATGCGAGGGGTTTCTTAGTCTGTCCCCTGCCAGCATGCTGTGACGTGGAGCCTTGCTCTCTGTGTGTAAGCAGTGGTCTCTCTGCAGAGAAGGAGCCTTGCTCTCTGTGGGTGGAAGCAGTGGTGTCTCTGCAGAGAAGGAGCCTTGCTCTCTGTGTGTGGAAGCAGTGGTCTCTCTGCAAAGAAGGATCATTGCTCTCTGTGTGGAAGCAGTGGTCTCTCTGCAGAGAAGGTGCCTTGCTCTCTGTGTGGAAGCAGTGGTGTCTCTGCAGAGAAGGAGCCTTGCTCTCTGTGTGGTAGCAGTGGTCTCTCTGCAGAGAAGGATCATTGCTCTCTGTGTGGAAGCAGTGGTATCTCTGCAGAGAAGGAGCCTTGCTCTCTGTGTGGAAGCAGTGGTCTCTCTGCAGAGAAGGGGCCTTGCTCTCTGTGTGGAAGCAGTGGTCTCTGCAGAGAAGGGGCCTTGCTCTCTGTGTGTGGAAGCAGTGGTGTCTCTGCAGAGAAGGAGGCTTGCTCTCTGTGTGTGGAAGCAGTGGTGTCTCTGCAGAGAAGGAGCCTTGCTCTCTGTGTGGAAGCAGTGGTCTCTCTGCAGAGAAGGAGCCTTGCTCTCTGTGGGTGGAAGCAGTGGTGTCTCTGCAGAGAAGGAGCCTTGCTCTCTGTGTGTGGAAGCAGTGGTCTCTCTGCAAAGAAGGATCATTGCTCTCTGTGTGGAAGCAGTGGTCTCTCTGCAGAGAAGGGGCCTTGCTCTCTGTGTGTGGAAGCAGTGGTGTCTCTGCAGAGAAGGAGCCTTGCTCTCTGTGTGGTAGCAGTGGTCTCTCTGCAGAGAAGGATCATTGCTCTCTGTGTGGAAGCAGTGGTATCTCTGCAGAGAAGGAGCCTTGCTCTCTGTGTGGAAGCAGTGGTCTCTCTGCAGAGAAGGGGCCTTGCTCTCTGTGTGGAAGCAGTGGTCTCTGCAGAGAAGGGGCCTTGCTCTCTGTGTGTGGAAGCAGTGGGGTCTCTGCAGAAAAGGAGCCTTGCTCTCTGTGTGGAAGCGGTGGTCTCTCTGCAGAGAAGGAGCCTTGTTCTCTTTGTGTGGAAGCAGTGGGGTCTCTGCAGAAAAGGAGCCTTGCTCTCTGTGTGGAAGCGGTGGTCTCTCTGCAGAGAAGGAGCCTTGTTCTCTTTGTGTGGAAGCAGTGGGGTCTCTGCAGAAAAGGAGCCTTGCTCTCTGTGTGGAAGCAGTGGTCTCTCTGCAGAGAAGGAGGCTTGCTCTCTGTGTGTGTAAGCAGTGGTCTCTCTGCAGAGAAGGAGGCTTGCTCTCTGTGTGGAAGCAGTGGTCTCTCTGCAGAGAAGGAGCCTTGCTCTCTGTGTGTGGAAGCAGTGGTCTCTCTGCAGAGAAGGAGGCTTGCTCTCTGTGTGTGTAAGCAGTGGTCTCTCTGCAGAGAAGGAGGCTTGCTCTCTGTGTGGAAGCAGTGGTCTCTCTGCAGAGAAGGAGCATTGCTCTCTCTGTGTGGAAGCAGTGGTGTGTCTGCAGAGAAGGAGCCTTGCTCTCTGTGTGGAAGCAGTGGTCTCTCTGCAGAGAAGGAGGCTTGCTCTCTGTGTGGAAGCAGTGGTCTCTCTGCAGAGAAGGAGCCTTGCTCTCTGTGTGTGAAAGCAGTGGTCTCTCTGCAGAGAAGGAGCCTTGTTCTCTGTGTGTGGAAGCAGTGGTCTCTCTGCAGAGAAGGAGCCTTGCTCTCTGTGTGTGGAAGCAGTGGTCTCTCTGCAGAGAAGGAG